AAATGAACTGAGGATATAGCTTAGTGGTAGAGTGCTTGGGTAGTATACAAAAGGCTCTAGAATCATTCCCCAGCACCACCAAGCAAGCAGCATGCACAGAGATAGCTTTGAAACCTCATTTACATAAAACCAATGTGTGGGGTTAGACTTGCTACAGGGGCAAGCATTTTGCTGCTGGAGTTCAAATGTGTTTAATGTGAATACTTCGTTGGCTTTTTGTTCCTAGCTGGGTTTCAATTATATTATAGAGCACTTTGGGGATGTGACTCAGAGAGAGAAAACTCAGAGCCTAAGATCCATCCTTTAGAAAAGGATTACTGTTGAAATTCATATTTTGAACAATTATGATGTTCAGTTTGAATCTCTCATTTGACCTACTTGAGCTGCCATTCAGATGTGTCTCTACCTGTTTTACCCCTTTCTCTTGGTCCAAAAATATTTACATCTAAAACACAAATGTGTTTCAAACACTTAGAGCCACTAAGGTTACATTCCACTGCCTCAACTTTAAACACACTTCAGAAAGCAGGATGCAGTGTTCTCACCTCCAACACATTTGGGATTCAGCCTTCTCTCTTAGGAAATTAAAGCAGTGGATGTTATATAAACCGATTCTCCCATGGTGCGCATGATATGCATTTAAACATATTCCTATGAGCTTGGTCGTCACCTGGTGGTGACGACTATGAGCTGGAGCACGTTTGAAATAAGTGGGTTTATGTCCCACGATCAATTCTGGGACAAAATTGGGACTAGTACCATGTTGAGAGGGGAGCTACGAAGTCAAGCTTTAGTAGATTTCTAGGATACCCAACTCATCCAAAGAGAGACTGGCACCATCCCCACACTTCATGACTTGCAGACTAAAATTGCATTCAGTAAGATGCAGACATTTCTACACCCACCTTCACCTCCAAAATCAGAGTTTCAGCCTGCCTCCCTTGTATGTTCTTCCTAAGAAACCCTGTTTATACTAGTTGTACACACCAGGAAATACTGATGCAGGGGCTTAGTGTGCTCAGGAGAAGGGAGACTTCACAGAAGAACAGTAGACGTGGGATATCCGGATACTGTAAATGGATCCGGCAGGGTCTGGCTAGAGCTTGCAGCTCAGACATTCCTAGATAGACTTCAGAGCTGTTTATCTTCTCTGCATGACTCATAAAAGTTCCCTGAATGCACAGTAACTACAGTGTAGATCTGTAGGCCATGTTCCACCTGGACCCCAGCCTTGATTTGTCCCTTTCTGATCATGCCTTGTCCCTGCTTTCATTTCTTCCTTCCCTTCTACACAGAACAGGATCTGGTTGATTAATGTTCAAATTACCCCCTACTCAACCCACAGGTATTCAGTTATTTCAGTGCTTTGATATAATATAGTTCTCTAAATTTCTTCATAGAGATAGTGTTTTATTTAAAGCTTATTTTAAAGACAGGAAAAGAACCAGGTTTATTGCTTCTGAGTCCACTCTCTCCCTTTCATTTACATCCCAAGCCTGCTCTGTGTGTGTGTGTGTGTACGAGTTTGTGTATGTGGAAATGTGGGAATGTGTGTGTGCAGATGTGCCTTCTCTGACAGCAAGGGCTATGTGGCCTGTAGTACAGCTGCTACCAAGGGACGCAGGACTACGACATCCTGGGCCCCTAGCTAACCTCTTTGAGCTCTTTTTCCAGACTCAGTTGTGTGATGCTCACTGGCACCATTGCTAATCTGACTGCTCCTACTGACCAGTGCCTTGGCTGTGAAAAAGAGCCCCAGATGTGTTTTACAGTATTGCAGCTTATTCCAGATCCATAGGGAGAAAATGAATTTGTGGACCCAGAACACGTAGAATGCTGCAGCTCCCATTCTTGTTGCAGATTCTCCAGGCACCTTTCTGAGAACTGCACACTTCAGCATCCTGAATTACGGAGCCTGTCTCCATCCTACATTTCAACAACTGTCCTAATTGATGTGCATCGCCTACCCACATGGCCAGGGACACAGGAAATGCTGGTGCAGACATGACTGGAGCACTGTGACCTCTCTCCATCAGTGCTTAGCCATGACTCAACCTCCAGCTCTCTTCTTTGTTAGAATAGGAGTGTTTTCAAGTGTACAGGTTTTCTGTGGCCTCATGACTCCATTTGGCTACTTGATCTCTACCTTATTGGTTGGACATTTTTTTTCTACATTAGAAGGTTCCTCTGGAATCCACTGACAATTTGTCCTCACCCTAGCCTCAATGGAATTCTTCACTGTCTCCAGCCACCAGTTAGGATCCTACAGAGTTACCCAGGTACACTGGGATCCAGAGGAACCAGCGACATAGATAATGCTAGGTGGGATATTTGATATAAGCTGTAAGCTGGCTCAGTATACCCCTGCCTGCCTTTCCTTGTCTAGTCCTCTAGCTATTGCAGTGGCCTGCAAAGTCTTGCCTGACTGAGATTTAAAAGCTACAACCAATTTAAGGCTTATCTTTCCCAGGTTTGAAAAGACAGGCTGCCTGGCAGGTAGGCTCATAGTGTTATGTCTACCCCTTCAGCATCCAGACTTAGGAGTGGCTAATACGTTAAGGGCAAGTAGTTTATTCCGTAACTGGTACTATTCACCCCCTCTTAGCTATCAGGGCCCCTATGTACCTTGGATACTCAGATGCACAATGTACATCCTTCTATCTAGTCCTAAGTCCTTCCCACAGCACATACTGTTAGGAAGTTCTGCCTCCAGCCCTGGACCCCATAGCCTTAGCCTTTTCTGTTGCCTTTATACAATGAAGGGTAGCCTCAGCACTGACAGACACTTCAAATCAAGGACTGATGTTCCTAGGATACCCTATTGTCCCTAGGGAGAAATCAGCCCCACATCTTTATATACTGTCCTCCATCTGAGATATATGTCTGTCTTCAGGATGAGGGTTTCGGCAGCTGTGTGCTCAAGAATGTGTGTGTTAAGGGATTTCAGGATTGGCAATGTCATACTGGAATAGAAATAAGTGTAGTGTGGAGGAGAAGATGGATGGGTGAGTGGTGCCACTGTAGGGGTGTGGTGAGCCTTGATAGGGTGTATAACAAGTGTGTTCTTCTTTCTCAGACCTACAGTGTCCTGGCAATTATTTGGGTGTTTAAGTGACATAAGGCTAGGTTTGGGAGAACTATGGGCTCTGAGAGACATTAGCACTTAAATAGAAATTGAGCTTTGTAAGAAGCCTTGTCCTGAAAGAACTAATAGCTGTGTGCTGGTCCATGATGGCCTCACTCATTGCTGCAAGGTTGAAGATCTTCCAGACTCCAAGTGTTTCTGACCTCATTTTCTAAACTTCAGGGCCTTGGGGTTTGTATTTGGACTGGGACAGAAATGCTAGTCTTTTTGTTCAACTCCTCACTTCGTAGCTAGATAGCTGTCTCTGAAGACATTTGGGTGACTTATTTTGACTTTTAGATGAGCTAGTGGATTTAGGAAATGCAGGCACATCTGAATGGAGGGGCCAGATCAAAGCTTGTGTGGCTTGTTTGCATCATACTGTGAGTGTTGGCAAAGAAAAACTAACACCAGCTGCAACTTCTAGGTCCTTATTGCTAGTGATGTCTCTCCTTGGCCAGATGGTAGCACCAAGGAAGGAATGGGGGGAGTGAACAGAAGGGAAAGGGAGAGGTAAAGTGTGTCTCTGGCTTCATTTGGTTTTCCCGGCACTCTGGAGATGCCCCTGTTTCACACTTGGCCACTTGGCATGACCAAGAGTGCCAGAGGGTGCCAACCTGCTGTCCAGCCTTATGTTGCCAGAGTGGTGTACTGTTGCAGAGGCCAATCTTCAGAGCATACTTGCTTTTGTGCCTGTCTGTAAAGTCCATGTTATCTCAGCATGCCATGCTTGGCCGCTCAGGCCTCCTGATATTGCTGGAACCTAATGTAACTTTTAGAACAGTCATACATACTGTGCAAAAGGCAAAGAGATTCATATTATTCTGCCACATGGGAAATCCCAAGAGGAGCAAAGCATACTTAGGTTATTTCTCTATCTGCACAGTTTAGATGGGTTTCCTAAGGTACACTGCCTATAGCAAGTCTGCAAGTGAGACCTGGGATATAGCCGAGGCATGACTCAGGTATTCAAGAGTCCAAGAGAGCAGAAATCACCTGCAAAACTTCCAGACAGCCAGAGGGGAGATTCTTGTTTCTACCAATGCTATAGGCCCTGGACAACAACCTAAACTAAATAGGTCTACCTTTGCTCTTGTGTTGCTCTTGGCATTAATTTTTTTCCAGAGGATGGAAATGCTTTGTTTTGGTTTTTTGCTTTTTGGTGCTTGCTTCCTTCCTCTGTCTGTCTGTCCTTCCTCCCTCCCTCCTTCCCTCCCTCCCTTTCCCCCCTCCCTCCCCTCCTCCCTCCCTCCCTCCCTCCCTCCCTCCTTTTCTGCCTCCCTCTCTCCCTCTCTCCCTTTCTGCCTCTCTCCTTCCTTCCCTCCCTCCCTTTTCCCTTCTCCCTTCCTCCCTCCCTCTCTACATCCCTCCTTGCATATACTGCCCAGAAATACTGGTCTTCTTAGAAGTGGCATTCAAAGACACTAAAATGTATTTCAGAAATACATTTTAGTGAATTGGGATCTGTTCAGTGGTCTTTAGGCCAGTGCCTTTGTGTGTGGGGCCTGGGGGAGGATTAGGCATGAGCTTGACTGTCTCTGCAGGGCCAAATCAAAGGGTGAGAGGACTGTGGTGGTTGCTTTCACATCCCTGTGATCAAATGACTAGCAGAAACAATGTAAGTAAGGATTTATTTTGGTCTACCATCTAAGAGTTTTCAGTTCATAGGCATTTTGGCTCCATTTATTCTGAACCCATGATAAGGAAGACTTTCATTTTGCTGTGACTTAATCTTTTCCATCTAAGTAATACCCACTGAAGCTTCCATATATTTGTAAAGTAGGTCTCTCTCTGGTGCTGTTGTTTCATATTCAGACCATAATAGGAGTTCCTAACCAAGCTATCTAGTGGCATTAATGTTGGATGTGATTTTCAGATTTTCCTTAGCATACAATGGAATTCTGCCCTGAGAGGCCAGTCTTGTGATGAAATATGGTAAGTTCAGACTGCACTGAATACACCTGTATGTTCCCTTTCTGTTGTGGTAAAATACCATCAGAAGCAATGTATAGGTGGATGGGTTTTTTTTGGGGGGGGTTATAGCTCTAGAGGTATGAGTTTATCATGGTAAGGAGGCATGGAAGCAAGTAGTGGGCAAGTGATGGCAAAAGCAGGAAGCTGAGCACTCCCATCTTTAATTGTAAGCATTAAGCTGAGAAAGGGAATTGGAGATAGAATCAGGCCATATAATCTCAAAGCCTACCCCAGTGGTGTTCACCTAAAGCACATCAAACAGCACCACCAAATGGAGATCAAGTGTTCCAATACCTGAGCCTACAGAAAGGAATATTCTCATTCAAACCACCACAGCACCCAACCTGCTGAACATCTAAATGGCTTCACAAAACACATGTTGAATTCTCAGTTGTTTTCTGCTTGGCACTGCAGGATTCACAGTGGCTACAGTTCTCTGCCCTGGACAGCAAGGGGAAAAGAACGAGACTCAAGAGCATCAGACTGGATAAGAAACAAATTCAAACTCCAGAACTGTAGTCTCTGCTGATTACTTATCACTTTGCACCACCATGGAGTTGGGAAATCTAAAGTGAAACCACCATAAGTCAGAGATCACTATGGAGACATCTGGCTCAAAGCTGATTTTTCTGTCCTAGGACAGTGCCCAAGGCTCGGGGCCTTCAGTTCACTTCATGGAATGTTTCTCAGTGGGGACCTTCTCTGCAGGTCCCCACCACCTCCCTTCCCACTTCCTACTTCCTCTTGGAGGAGTACTCAGAAATGCAGCACCTACTCCCAGAAGTTTTGTTCTCCTCTTTTCTGGACCAAACTAGTCACCCTAGCTTCCTAGGCACTCCTTCTTACTGTACACATCTGGACCTATCTCTAACCACCCTTTCACAGTAGCTTTCTGTAGTTCCTTCTCCCTGATGTTAAGATTGCCCAAGAACAAACTGGTCAAAATGCACATCTGCCTCTGGCTGTCTTACTAGCTTTCCCTGGGCATCTGCACTCTAGCCACACAGGACAGAGCACCTAGACAGGAATATGAAGCTGTTGAAACAGTAGCTGCAGGCCCTCTAGTCTCAACAGCACTTACTGCTAATCCCAGAACATGGGTTTCCTGTCATCCTTGTCACGCACGTATACACATGTGCACAAGTGTGTGTGTGTGTTCACGAATACATGCCATATGCCCACCTTCATTTCCAGCTTTTTTTAGATTCCCTTGATGACTTTATTCAGAGCTCGGCTTGGCTATCCTGGATATCCTGGTGCTACACTCCTCTCAAGTTCAACATCTTCAATTCTGGTGAGCCCTATCACTACTGGAACCACCAAAGATAGATATTAAGAATTTGTTTTGACAAAATGTGCTTGAGATCCAGAGTGCAAACTATGTAGATTTTGTCATGGAGCAAGAGAACAGGAAACCTCCATGGTCATGGGCTATCACTCCTTTCTCATGGTGATTGATAGGCTAGATGCTGTTTAACTAGAATGTCAGTGCTCATTGGCTTTTGAGCTTGATATTATTGGTCACAAATTCATGAAGGAATAATGAGGCTTCAATGCTAAACATTTCTTTAAATGAAGAATCAGCCTACCAGATAATAAAATCAAGTGGTAAAATTATATTTACTGATCTCACATCCAGGTAAGTTTTAACAAGGATGTTCAGAAAGTAGATCCATACGTGTTGTTAGTTTGTAAAGTCTGGCAGCCACTGTGAAAAAGAAAGTAGAGACATCCCAGAAGACTAAACAGCATTACCCTGTGATCCAGCAATCCTGCTTCAGTGTATATATCCAAGATAATTGAAAGGAGAATCATGATTTATTTCATCCTCATGTTCATAGCCACATTATTTACAATAACTAAAATATGGAAGCATCAACAGGTAAGTGAACAAGTAAAGGATCGTGTGCATAAAATGGAACATTATTCACCCCCTAACAAGGAAATTCTGACATATGTTAAAGCCTGGATGAACACTGAGGACTTAAGTAAAATAAGCCAATCACGAAAGTTACATACCAGTGGTCATCCTTATAGAAACTAGAAGTAGGATGGTGGTAGCTAGCAACTAGCAGGAGGGAAAATAGTGGGTTGTTGTTTATTGGCTATGGAGTTTCAGACGAAAAAATGAAAAGCTCTCAGAGATCCCTTACAGAGTAACACAATTATACATAGTTCTGTTTGCACTCTATGGTAGAAAATGGTTTAAACAGGGTGAATTTCACCACAGTGTGCTTTTTGCAATAATAATAATAATAAAGAAAACTACATTTGAAACTTTTATGATTTGAGTTATTGGCAAATAGTTGACAGGCTGGGCAGATTACCTACTGCTGCGTAATAAACACAGCATTCCCCCATTTCCATTCTCATGGCTCACTGTGTAAGTATTTAAACAGAGGTCCATGGAGACTATTTATCACCCTCTGTGGCTTCCCAGATATCTGAGATTGGAGTATATTGGTTTGCTTTTGCCCCAGAATTGCACCAAGCTACCTACATGTCTGATCACTGAGCTTGTTCCCAGCACAGTAGCTTTGAAGCAGGTGATTTCCGTGTGTTAAAGATGGTGATGCATGAACAGGAAGGCGGCAGCCTGCGGCACCTATCTCCAGTTCATACTATGTCTGCTCCATCCTGTTCTTCTGGTCAGTGGCAAAACTTTAAGCCAGCTCAGACTCAAGAAGAGGCAAATTGGACCCTTTAGAGGGTTTGAAATTACAGTCAACCTATCATGAAAAGAAAAGACAGATAATGCACCCTAAAATATATTCCTGGGAGCCCAGTGCGAGGGAAGGCAGTATGGGGACCTGGAAAAAGCATGGAACATATAGGAAATGAGCTACTTGGGTAAAACATGATTGCATCGCCCCTCACAGGATCATGACACATTCTATGGGGTCATAACACAATAGTAGTTAATATAAGATGTTCAGATAGTATAATTTTATGTGATTTGGGTTTTGCCAAAAGAAAAAAATTATCTTAGAAACTGTACGATCTTAGGTATTATGAAGTCATTAACAGATTTTTCTAGTTTATGTGTGTTTGTTTGTGTTTTTATTGTTGTTACTTAACAAACTGTCACCCAAACTCAGAGCCTATGGATCTGTGGATCAGGAATTTGAATAAGGTGCAAGGAGACAGAGAGTGTAATCATGTAAATCACAGTTTCTGAAAAGTACGGTAATTCCCATTACAATAATCTCTAAATGACTATAAGAAGAATTTTTAAATGTATGTAAAAAGAAGCCTAGATATGTCTAGCCTCTGGCTGAATACCTTGGCATTGGTAAAACCAATTGATAACCATTGATAAACTAAATTTGTATTACATATTTTACATAAAGAATTGAAAGCAAGATTTAAAATGTACAATTAGTAGAAATAAACACTTGCAACAAGTGAATAAAAGCCCTGTTTTAGTCACGCTGTTTGCCCCCGCTCTGTGCCAGAATTCTCCATACATTGTGTGCTTCATCCAGGCACAGACTTACACTGTCTTCCCTCCCAAGAGAGCTGTTCTGGATTCCCCAAGACTGCAGTCAGAAGGCATTCCTCTGCTCTGAGTGGGTGTGTGCCTTCTCTCTGTGGTGGCAGACTTGGCTCATGCCCCACAGCAGTGGAAGCACTTCTAGAACAGTTTGCTCACCCTGCATTTCTGGGTAGTGTTAAAGCTCAGAGACACAGCTGAGAAGAGTGAAGAACACTCCGTGCTTGGAGTGTAGGCTACCCTGTGCTGCCCTGAGTACTCATGTGTTGAGACAGGTGGTGTCCAGCCTCTGGACAGACCCAGAGGTAGAATGCTGTGTCAAGAATCAGACGTATATGTTGTGCTGGACAGTGGAGAGAGTTCAGGCTTCTAGGCAAAAGGAATGGGGCAGAGTTGGAGTTTAGGGAGGCTGGATCCTGTGAACTGTAGACTTTTGAGGTGGCTTTAGATTTTATTTTGTACTGGTGGTGTGACTCAGGTTTAAGGGACAACATGTGAAATAAGTGAAGGCAGACAAACTTGTCATTCATTTTCTCAACTGCTGCATCCAGATTGCCCCAAACTTAGTGTATCAACATCATGGAGGATCAGCCTGGTCTTCTTGCACCAGTTGTATGTGAGCACTAAGGACCTCTGGACCTGGGAAAGTGCAGGATGAGGAAGCTGGGGGCTGTTTCCTGAGGGTTCCCATGTTGACTCAGCATTAGGCTACACCATTCTATACCTCAGTACCGTGTGGCACCCTTCAGGTTGTGGACTTCTTAAATGACAGTTCAGGGACCCTGCTCAAATTTTCTGTTACAGATATAGTTAACACAAACTTCTCTTACTTAGTCTCAGAAGTCACAAATATTACTGCTGGTAACCCTCCTTCTGCTAACCTGAATTGCACCTAAGTAGATTCAGGGAGGGAGCAGACACCTGTGCTTCTCCCAGGGAAGACTGCTATGCCCACGGATAGTATTAATGTGGGCTAATTAAGGATAAAACTGTTCACCTTCAGATATATGATTAGACACCAGTTCTAAACATAAAAATATCTGTGTACACAATAAGTTTTTAAGTCACACAAATTCTCATCAAAGAATTCATCTCTGTCTGTTTTCAAAATTATATTAACTTTTCTTAGTCTTAATTGTTCTCCAATATCTTTAGTGTTTCTAGTTGTTCTTAAAAGCTCTGTCTAGCGTGTGGTGCTGCACTTGAGTTCATAAGTCAGAAACTGGGACAGAGATGAATGGCACCAATTTTACATGCTGTACAGACACATTAGTCATGTGAAAGGTCTTGGAATTCTTCAATTTCATCACTTCTGAATGCTTTTAGTGAAATGATAGATGAGAAAGATGGGAAAAGATTGGAAATGCCAGGTCATCATTGGTCTGGTGGCTTCTCCAGACTTACACAAGAATAGGTGTCAAGGCCAATTACGATCTACTGTTTCTGATTTTTTTTCTCTTTTCTTACT